AAATTCTTGGATTCTTTCCACTAAGAAATCCCAAAAAATTAATGACTTTGAGAGGTGGTGTTGGAGTAAAATGCTGCTCATACCTTGGACAGTCCATTGGACAAACATTTTCATTGAAACTTTTCAAACCCAGCCCCATTGGAAATCTACAATGTGAAGCAGGCCAACTATCTCTATTATTATCTTGCCAACAACTAGTCCGTTATACCAGTCGAAAGAACAAGCGGGTTTTAGAAAGGAATTCAGCACAAGTGATAATTTACTAAGTATAAAAATACTTATAGAACAAGCAAATGAATACCACATTCCTCTATATATAGCGTTCATAGATTTTGAAAAGGCTTTCGACAGTGTCCAATATTGAGCAATGAAAAGTTCTTTGATTAACAGCAGAATTGACCACAGATATAAGGTATAAAAATTTGTGGACAATACTTGAGTCATCTAAGGTATGCTGATGACATCGTGTTGATAACCCATAAAAAATAAGAATTGTTTGAAATGATGAAAGAACTGGACGTAGAAACTGGAAAGATAGGCCTTAATATGAATTACAGCAAGACCAAAATCATAACAAATACAGATGAAGACATCACAATGAGGATCGGACAAGATGAAATGTAACAAGTTCAGGATTATATATATCTGGGTCAAAATATAAAACTTAACAAAGAAAACCAAACAGCAGAGATAAAAAGACGAGTTAGTCTGGCATGAATGGCATTTGGCAAACTAAGCTGCATTCTTAAAAACAAAAGATATCCACAGCATCTTAAGACCAAAGTATACAATCAATGCGTACTTCCTGTTGTGTACTCAACTTATGGTTTCTTAACGTGGACATTTACAAAAGCAAACATGGACAAAATTATAAAAACCCAAAAAGCAATGGAAAGACAAATGTTGCACATAAGACTAATGGATAAAAAGAGAAACAAGTGGATAAGAGAGAAAACAAAAGGAAGGGATGTTAGACAACAACTTGCAACATTGAAATGGAGATTTGCCGGACACAATATAAGACAAAAAGAAGACCGATGAAACAAAATTCTTATAAGTTGGAGACCGTGGGAATATAAACAAAGCAGAGAACAGACCCAAATGAGATGGGCAGATGATATTAAGAAGCACGTGGGCTCTAGGTGGATGACTGTAGCGACAGACAGAGAAGAATGGAAAAGGATTGGAAGAAGGCTTATTAGATAGATAGAAAGAACTACTTCGTTATTATTTTTTAAAGCCTTTTCTAATAAAATCAGTCCTGCATACGAACTTATTAAAAGACTTATAATTTTAGACCTCCTAGCAAATATCAGTTATTACCACCAGATATATTTTTGTGGATTATTCACTATTTCGATTTTTCAGTAACGAACATCAAGATAATTCGTTAACCCGTCCCTGAACCAATTAAATTCCAAAATTATCTTCTCCTTAAAGACTTTTAACAAAACTTAAACCAGTAGTCTAATTAGAAGATAATCTTTTCAAGAAAAATTTAACATAAATTTATTAATAATGTTTTATACACAAATGCATCGCAAACTGAGTTAGGAGTCAGATGTTCTATAATCACAAATAAAATTCTTAAGACACCTCTCATCATTCGCCACTAACCACACACGTGAACTATACGCCATATTCCAAGCTTTAATCTGCTCGCCTAAAGAAACTGCATCATTTGCCTCAGTAAAAGCCGATATTGGACTCCTTCTCGTGCCGAGATTTTAGGTAGTGGGATTACTGACATTGCTGCAAAGAAAGTAATTACCATCAGCCTAAGCCATAAATCTTTAAAAACTTAAGAATAAGAGATTGAAATTCAAATCAATTTGAATGGACGAAGTATCCTGCCTGTCAAGAAAATCAAATATCTGGACGTAATTCTGAACACTAAACAAAGCTTCGGTTAATATGTAATATGTGCTGCGAAAAAAGCCGATCAAAGAACAGCTGCACTAACAAAGATCATACCAAGCGTAGTAGGTCTAGGGATAGATAGAAGAAGAATTTTTATGAACGTGATTCACTTCACCATACTGTGGAAGCAGGTAAGGCGTAAATAAAAATACAGGGGAATCCTAGAGAAAGTTCAGAAAAAACCCTGTTGAGGGTCGTTTGTATATATATCGTATTGATAGCAGGACTACCAATTTACCCACTAGTTAAAGAAAGAGCAATCACGTATGGCATGAGTAAAAACGACAAAGTAGATGAAAGAGGGATGACCAACGCAAAATATCAAGAAGAGTAGAAAAATGAACATAGAGTTGAATGGACCAGATCATTTATTCTCCTCCTGCTAAGTGCCTTCTCTGTTGAGTTTGGTAATCAATATGGCAAATTTCTCTCTGTTCTGGGCTTGATGAGTTAATTCATTTCGTCTTGTGTGGGTCCAATGTCTGATTTATCGTAGCCAATATTTTTTCTTTCGTCCTATGCCCCTTTTACCTTTAATCTTGCCTTATAATATTATCTGGAGCTGCTCAAATTCCCTATGGCGCATTATGTGTCCTAGATATGACGTCTTTTTAGTTTTGATAGTATTGATCAGATGAGGGCGTGTGTTCATTGGTGTACTGTTTTAATGTCCAGGTCTCACAGCCACATAGACCACACATAACACTTTTATAGAACATTTATACCAGACGTGAAAGACTGGTCAGGATATGGTATGACCAACTACTTTTTCACACAGTTCCTTACGGGGCACAGCTCGTTCAAAGCCTAGCTGGTAGGGATAGGGAAGCAAAGACGGCAACCGCATTGGCAAGGATTAACTACAAGTCGAAAAACTATGTGTTCGATGTCATAAGGTTAACGAACGAGAAGGCAAAGCTATACGAAAAGATGGAAGAAGTTGGGGTGAATACACAAAGAGATCCTTTTATTTGGTACACAGAGTATCATGGATGCACCAGAGTGACCACTTTCAAAAAGGGAAATGCACTAGGGTGAATCCTTTTACTCTGAATCTGACACACGCTAGCTACTCCTTTTTGGGAGACTGAACTAATATGGTCTCCAAAAGACTTAACACCCTCAGCAGAAAAAAGTTTAAATTAAAGAAATCGTCAAACTTGCAGCTGAACTGACTTGATGGCTGAGCTGATAGGTTCAGATGAACCATTTCTGTATGTCCAAATTCCAGTTTATCACTAACTGTAAAGCATATGGTCACAGATTCCATGCATTACAAAAATAAATGAAAAATATATAGTCTCCACGAATGATCATCCAACAAAAAGAATTCCAAAGCATTTTTACGAAAATATTACCCTTTTACGAGAAGTCAATATACAAAATTATCTACAATTTATTGTAATCTATTTTAAGTGTGAAGAAGTTTCAGATTATCACCAATGTACAAAATGAGAAATGAATAAATTAAAGCACTAATTAATCTGAAGGAAAAACTAAATCACGAAATAGAAAATCGTAAATTACTCTGGTATGGACATCTGCGAAAGATAGATGAGAGAAGAATACCACTAAAGGCTTAGAAATGGAAACCAAATAGAGGGAGGAAAGATTATAGTAGAACGGCAAATAGAAGCAGAAATGGAAAAATGGGATCTTAAAAAGAAGATATATATGTCAAGAAAAAACTGCAATTGCGATGTGATAAACGGCACACAGAATATGTTGTGTAAATCCTCGAATGAGTAAGTAAGTATTTTAAGTGTAATAAAATGATTTTAGTGTTAATAACCTCTGTACTGGAGAAACAATAAATAAATAAAAAAATTATAATTTTCAAACCTTAGATCTTCTAGTGTTATAAAATTCATTAACTTTAATTCACCAGCACATTCCAGAGGATTAGTAATATGAGGGCTCTCAAATTTAGGTGGCTCGTACGTGATAAACAGATTCAATATTATTAGTATTGTACAGATGGCTATAAAAACATTCGTATATAAAAAAGGTGCTGCGGCTTCAGCATGACAATATAGTAACTACATAATGGATTAAAATTGCGAAAAGAATTTGGAATTATGTTCTTTTTTTTTTGATGATGTAAATGGAAAAGTTATTGAAAAAAGAAGTTACAATGAAGAACGATTTCCTACAATTATTGTATTTATATGCAAGAGAAGAAAAGGTGTTACATAAATTAAGTACGCACACAGGAGGAAAAACGATGAATCAGATTATTTTGAAAAGTATGTCAATATTATTACATATTTGGCGAAATTAATTTAGAGATCGAACCAATAAACAGAAGAAACAGTTAAAATAAAGGAGAAACAAGAAGTTGCGATTAAGATTATGTTACCTATAGAAATCATAAATGTAAATAATCCAGAAATATAAATTAGAAGATTTATTTCGAAGATACAAAACTAGGAAAAATTCCATATTTTATATGGAAGAAACAAAGCATAGAGTAAAAAGGAGGTGAACAATTATTAAGCACAGTAAAAATCATTAATATTTGAAGAAAAACAAAGGCCCATAGAAAAAAGTGCAAAATATGCAGATACTTTTTATTTGGGAAAAGACCCAAGATGTTTTTTGGTCTAAGAAAAAAGGCCAAATTGTCTTAATAAAAGAGATGACGCCATACGGTTACCTTCTACATGAAGACTTTTCATAAAGAAAATATCGCCCCCTCCATCCTCGAATCAAAATCCCACAGTCGGAAATGTTCGCGCCAACTCTCGCGCCAACCCCAGCGCCAACTCTCGTGCCAACGCCCACCCCAACCTCCACCTAGCCCACGCCATCATCGACGGTATAAATGAACCGTCTCCTGTTCCCAGCCGTAGTAGTGACAGTGCAGTGATCAGTGAACAGTCTAGTAGACCTCGGAAGCCCTGAGGAGGACATCAGAGAGGATGTCGAAAGTTCGGCAAAATGAATATCGACGCGGTTCAACCCGGAAGACTGGTAAGTTTAATATTAATTTTTGTAATAGTATTATTCTTAGCTCTAGGTTTTATTTATATAAATATATGTACAGTCTGTAAAAGTAACAAGCAAATAAAACAATTTACCTAATCTTTTGCCGAACGTACGAAGTCTAAAGAAAAACCCATCTGGTCGTCCGTCGAAATCTTCTCTGCTTAACACCTCTTTAATTGCTTCAGATCCGAAAACTCCTACGACATAGTTCCTTCCCAGTTTCATGCCAACAACTTCGCCATACTTTTGGTACAACTCCATCCAGACTAGATGGTGGTATCCCAATGCTTTCAGCCTTTCTCTATATTGCAAATAGCTTCCTACTATAGGAATAATATTTGGACCTATTAAAAAGAATAATAAACTATTTAAAATAATTAATTTTTGATTGTGCTGAGTAGAAAAAAACATATTTTGCGTTACATCGATATATACGCAAGAGACAAACGGATGACTAAAAAAACCTCGAAATTTTGTATCAACTACAAATGGTGCCTCTTTAAGAGGTATGCAACTGGATTACATCACAAATTGTGTGCTATGTGGTTGTGGAATATAGAGTACCACGATAACGAACGAAATTGGCCAACGGAGGAATTATTTGAATTGTGACGAAAATATTATTGAAACTCCACTTATTGAAATATTTTATCCACTTCAAAATAGGAATTTAAAAATTTCGTAAATATGGTAGATTCAAAAGGAAAAGCATTGAAATAATTGAATCGTATTTGAGTCAATGGACATTCGCAATTTGATGAAGGATGTAAGGTTCGCTAATGCACTCAATAATATAGAGCTTGTGGCTTGGTGTTGTATTAAAGTGATTTTTGAAAACATTTTCGGAATTAATCGTTTATTACTCTTATTTACTATTTTTATTGAGAATTATCCACAGTTTTATATCTTTAAAATCCAAGCTGGCGAAATTAGATTTATCAAAAAAGTAAAAAACATGAAAGAAAAATATGGATTTAAAACAAGAATTGAATATCTACTCAATAAATCAGAAATTAAAAGAATAAAGAACCAAATAGAAACAAAGTTGCTTGCAGCCTGTGCAAAGCATTTTAGTCGGGAAGCAGTTAGTTAGTAGAGTGTAGAGTGTTGTTTGCTGTAATTAAATTATTTTGAAAATGGTCCAAGAGCTGGTAGACATTTTTAACATTGAGGCATTCAGAAATTTTTTTAGATACGTCTTCTATAATATACTAATACAAAAATGCAATGATTGGAGGGTAGCAATCATTTAACAACTCATTAATTAAACAACATGTTTAAAATTTTATTACAAAAAATATCTTTAAGGCAATTTGTAATTTTTTTTAAACTAAATTTAAATATTCAAAAATAAAGAAAATAAACAAGCCAGGCGATTCGCGAGATATTTTAACTCTGCAAGATGCTTGCAAAACTATTTGTCAAATAAATAAAAAAATGTAGTTGGAGCAAGTTGCTATTTTGACAGGGTATTTTTTAATAATAAAATAAAATATTCTAAAAAAGACAAGTCATTTTTGGGAAAATTTCTACCTGCCAGGTGATCAAAAAAATTACGCGTGCGTGTCAGTGAAAAGCGCTATATTTTTTGAGACACAACACATTCACAACATATTTTTTGAATTTATGTAATTTTAGAGTTATTTTTGAATATTTAAATTTACTTTAAAAAAATTACAATTTGCCTTTTTTTTTAATTTAGAGCTTATTAAATGACCGTTACCTTAGCCATTAAATGATGCCCGTCTGGTCTACATTTCTGTATTAGAATTAATACATATTAGATTAAATGAAGAGGTAGTTGAAAATTTATCAGATTACCTCAAATACCTACCCAAAAATGTCTACCAGCTCACCTACAGATTCGAATGCATTTTAATGCTAAAACACAGCAAGTACTTATGTTTTTATGTGTACAAAAATTTACATAACAAATAAGGCTTCGATGCAACACTGTTGGTACAGCAACTTTTAATTTAACAAAAATCTGAATACAGAAATAATTTAAAATTAACACGAACATTGCAAGCGATAAGACTACAAATTTTCAAAACATATAGACGATTGACTTATAATGAAATACTTACAACTGTCGGAACATGAACTGGTGTAAAAAAAATTGGATAAAGAAAATTAGCTGTTATTAATTTAAAACCATAAATAAACGTCAAGCTGTTATGAAAATCCAAAGAATAGTAGACAACACAGTAGGCGAATTTACTATTTAGACGAAACTTGGTATGATACTCACGATACAATTAAGAAAGAATGGACAAATGGGTCAAACATATGTACATGAAAAATGCCTGTAAATAAAGGATCGTGGCTATTATTGTTCATTGCGGAGAAAGTAAGGGATGAGTTCCGAATGCTCAAAAACGATGTGGGAAGAAAATAGAGGATTGTATGTAACGTTGGCTACAACAGTATAGAAGCTGATATTTTTAAAGATTGGTTTGAAAACTCACTGACCTTAAACTTGGAGCCAAATAGCGTAATAGTGCTTGACAATGCTTCCTATCATTTCAAACATCTCACTAAGATACCAAATACATATTCAAAGAAAGCTGAACAGCAAGGGTTTTTAATGAAAAATTATTTGTATTTCGAAGATTTTTTTATAAAATACAACTGATTGAAAACGAGGAAGTCGAGATAACCGTACAAGAAGTAAAACAAACTTTAGAAAAACTGAAGAACAGAAAAGCTGCAGGTAAAGATGGAATTCCAAATAAATTATTGAAATATGGCGGAGAAGCATTAACAGAACAGCTAACAGCACTAATTAACAAAATCATCAAACATAATAAAATACCTGAAGAGTGGAAGAAAAGCGAGCTTATCCTACTATACAAAAAAGGGGATAAAAAACAACCTGAAAGCTACAGAGGTATCAACTTATTAAACACCACTTTGAATACAACCAAAATATTGCAAGGCCAAATAAATCAGAGAATTACCTTAGCGGATGAACAGCAGGGTTTTCGCACAGGAAGATCGTGCACAGATGCAGTATTCATCATAAAACAGATTACCGAGAAAGCACTAGAGTATAACAGACCAGCATTCATATGTCTAATAGACCTGAAGAAAGCGTTCGATAAAGTAAAGCTTAAAGATGTAATTCACCTTCTTAACGATAGAGAAATTCCACTAAATGTTATAAAAACAATAGAGAACATTTACCAGAACAACAATATGGAAGTCAGAATAGATGACCCAGGTTACAGATCCAATAGATATGGGCAATGGAATAAGACAAGGAGACTCGCTTAGTCCAACGCTATTCAATCTAATCATGGATGAAATCATCAATACTATTAATAAAGGAAGAGGATACAAAATGGGGAACAAAGAAATCAGAATACTCTTCTATGCAGATGATGCGGCCCTAATTGCATCCAATGAAGACGATCTACAAAGACTAACCCATAGATTCAACACAAGGGCAAAGGACTTTAATATGGTGATCTCTACACAGAAAACTAAAACAATTGTAATCAGTAAAGAACCAATTAGATGTAAACTGGAAATCGACGGTATCAGCATTGAGCAAGTAATGGAGACAAACTACCTAGGAATTACACTGTCTAGCTACGGAGATGTGGAGAAGGAAGTGAAAAATCAAGTACAAAAGCCTAATAAAATAGCAGGTTGTCTTAATAACACGATATGGCGCAATCTCCACATTAATACCGACGTGAAATCAAGAATCTACAAAGCAACAATAAGACCAATAATGACATACACTTCAGAGACAAGACCGGATACCTCCAAAACTCAGCAACTACTAGAAACTGCGGAGATGCGTTTACTGAGGAGAATTACAGGAAACACACTGAAGGATCGAATGAGGAGTAAAGAGATCAGAAGAAAATGCAATATACCAGAAATAAATGAGTGGACACTGAACAGAAAAAAGGAATGGAACGAACACATAAACAGAATGGAAGAGACCCGATTAGTCAGAATAGCGAGGGACAAATCACCAAAAGGTAGAAGAAGTATCGGGCGACCACGCAAAAGATGGAGTGATAACCTCCAATAGAGGCATTAATCGATATTGAACAAGCATTTTGCTTATAAAAAAGAAGAAGAAGAGAAGAAGACAACTGATTGAAGTTCTACACACGCAGCAACTTAACAAATTATAGGTTTCAGGGAGTACTGCTGAAAATCATAGACACACTCTATAGGAACTTCCTCCAATTTTTTTGTTTCAATGGTATCAAAAAATTCCCCAAAGTGATTAAAGATGATTGGATAATTTCAAATTATTAGTAGAAAGAAATTTATTATTGGTTTTAATGATGATTGTGGTGGAAAATGGTGGAAATAAATTTATTATTGAATATAATGATAGTAGTTGGTGCGAAAATGCGGAAAGAAAATGAACTAAGAATATAAATGATTTCTTGTTAATTGTTGTGTTGTGCAACTAATATTCCGAAATCTTACAAGCGTAATAATCAAAAGATCCTCATTTTAAAAAAGTTGTTATATTTTTAGGTTTTGTTTGTTTTTTTTATATAAATAAAAAACAGCGGGAACATGCTAGCATTGTTTGCAGAATTTTAAAAATTTTGAAATGTATACTGACGTTAAATTTGAGATTTAAGTCCGTTTAAAAAAAGTATCAGTAATTGCAAAAATAACAACAAATCAGATTTACGTCAACAAAACTTAGCAAAGGCACAAAAATAGAAATTCCCTAACATATAGAATGGATATAGCCATAACGAACATGAAAGAAGAACTTAATCTTTTATAAAAAATAATTACAAACCACCCAATGGATAAAAGAAGTAGAGGAAGGTCAAGAAGGAGATCAAGATACAGTATATATAAAAAAGGATGAAATAAAATTACTATCGCAGCTGGGAAGCTAGGACACATCCTGAACAAAAAAAAAATAGGAAAATAAGGTAAAATCTACCTGATAAAATCGATAAAAATCTATGCAGCATCTACCGCAGTCCTGTGGGGTCGAAACGTTTTGATAACGATATTTTATTTAAATATATGAACAGGATAACAGTACTTCTGGCTTGTTTGATATCTAATTTGTCATTTCTCTCTCAGTATTAATTGCTTTGTTAAATAAATGAAAACATTTTGAAAGCTCAATCAAATCGTACAAAAAAGTTTAAAATGTGATAAAATTGTTCAAAGAATATTATCGGATATTCAATTTATAGTAAATAATATTGTACGTTACTAACATTACGTTAACAAAAACAGCAACCTAGGAAATGCGCTTCTAAAGATTTTTTTGGAACGTTTCCATGATATTTACGATATGTATTATTAATTTTAATTAAAATTAAACAAATTTAACAATTGTTGTTTATTTTATTAGTTAAACTTCAAATATACCGCATTTTGATTTAAAATTATGGTTTATTCCCAGTGTATATAGTAGAAACCTAGGAAATATATACCAATGATGAAAAACCTATCTATTTTTTGACTGTAAATTTTTATATAATTTTCAAATACTTTACCTGGTGGATATTTCCTAGGGCGTCTCATATCGTATAAAAGCACCATCGCGAATACGGTGATGGCTAGGCAAACCACCGAAAATAACATCTTCACTTAGTTATCTTAGTTCTTCCAGAGCCGACGACTCACTGCCCATTTTCAATCGCTCGGAACTTTTACTTACCAACTCGTTGGAGGCCTGTTGTCTTTTGAAGTTTTTTTTTGACCCGTGACCCGTTTGTTGTCATTTTCTATTATATGGGGCAAGTTCAGATGCTTTGATAAGTGTTGGGCTGCTGTAGTGATAATTCTTAAGAATGAATAGATTTGAATTTGTATTTGTGTTTTGTATAGTCTTTTCTTTAGAATGGATTGTGTGTGTATGTGTGTTGTATACTTGATTTGAAAATACATGGTACAACACTCTATATGACCGAAGATTACAGCTGTCTCTATACAAAGCAGGACAAGACAAAAATTAATTAAAACAATATGACCATCCCAACAAACCTTACCAAACTTTACCAAAGAAACGTAGAAAAACATCAAGAAACGTGACATTCCCTTTATAAACGAGATAGCTTTATTATCAATATTACATTTGTTATTTCCCAAATAAATTACAATTGATTCTATTGGTTTTTCTATTAAATTAATAAATAAATTTATGTCTTTGCTTGTCACACGTCTTGAACTGCAGACTAGCGTGAAGTCAAGCCTTTGTTTGTAGAAAAATATACTACAATTTTACTAGGTATGATTGTTTAAATTCAGCTCATAGTACCACCCTAATTCTTTCTACAAATAATAATTTCTCTCTGGTAAAATACGATTCTCTGTTGAGTAAAACCTTCTCTCTCTCTTTTTCTTCGAGTGCCATATCAGAATTGTCGTTGGCGATCACCATTGCGAAGGCTTCTAGATATTATGCAAAATGGAATAATTGTCCTGCATTTGATATCTGAGTCCATTCACGAATGTTTTTTAACCAAGTTACAGTCATTAGCAGTTCTCTATCTTTGTTGACGCTCCTTAGTACTTCTTCATAAGTTTTCCTTGCCGTCCAAAGTATCTTCAGCATTCGTCTATAAACCATGCATCCACATTTCCAATGCTTCAATTTAGTTCATGATCGATACTTTTAGCGTCCACACTTCTGCACTATACAAAAGTACGGAGCAAACATAGCACTTAACCATGCTTTGTCTTAGTTCCAAAATGAAATGGTTATTGCAAAGAAATGATTTCATTTTCATAAAAGTAGTTTTAGTCATTGCTATTCTACGTTTTATTTCTATGTCTGACTCTAGTTGGTCCGTTATCACAGTTCCTAAATATGTCGTTTTGTGAACTTTTTCAACTTGGACTCCGTTAAATTTAAGCTTTGCATCGAGATATGGGCTCACGACTAAACGCTAAAAATTTGTTTTTGTTTGAGTTTATTTTAATGCCCATTTCCTCTCCTACCTCGTGAATACGATCAAGCAGAATTTGAAGACCTTCAATATTATCTGATAGAATTACTGTATCGTCTGCATATCTAATTACATTAAGTAGTTCCCGGTTGATTTTTATTCCGTTTGTTGTCTCTCAAGTGCCTTTTTAAATAACTGGTCCGAGTAAATATTGAATAATGTTGGCGACAAAATCCAACCTTGTCTGTTGGGAATATGTGGGAATCACTCCGGTGTTATATATTGAATTGTTCTATCTGTAAGAATATTAATCTTTACATTCTTTGCACTTATATATCACCAGACTCTTCCACTGAACTATTTTTTCTGAATATGTTAAATTTGTTAAATAACCTGCCCAATAAAAGTAGAAAAAATGCTATGCGGTGACGTTAATATTAATTACACTGCTGTTTGTTCCCAACTGTCCTTGGTCAAGATATTTAAATCGTATGGTCTCACAACGCACGTTAATTCTCTTACAATAATCACTAAAACAACCTCTTATGTAATTGATTACCTCTTGATGTCCACTCTACAATTAATTCTCAGCTAACATTCTCAGCTAAACCTGATCAAAAAATCAGACGTTTAGGTAGAATTTTTTTCTGCCAACTTTCTTAAATTCCAAATTTTAAGCTTGACTTCTGGGTGGTACTTTCCTTCTGTGTACGTGAATTGTAATTTCAGTGATTTTTTAAATAAACTTGTCTGTGTTATGCAGTAAGGCATTTACATTAATTACAATTAAGCCAAAACATCACAAATTCTGGACTACCAATGGTATCCGCATATTAGCCAAGAATATGCGTCCACTAGTGTGGACGCATATTCTTGGCAAATTATCAAAACAGCTAAAAAAGCATAAAACTAACACAGCTCAACTATTTTGTTTTTCAAACCCTCTTGTTACAAAAGATTTGTATGTGGAATACCACAAGGTTCAGTATTAGGTCCTTTACTTTTAATTTTCTTTATAAATACCATCACTAAGTTAAAAATCGATGGAAATTTTTTTTGCTGTAAAATATCATTATTACCTGAAGCAACTATTCATGCAACTATAACTTTTAATCTACTTACAACAAAAACCTCTAATTTACTCTCTTTTAACGTGGATAAGACAGTAGCATTATTTTATCCTATAAAGCAGCTCTTCAACCCTTGCTTCTTAGTAACAGCCAGATCAGTATCTTTGAATCTGTTAAATTTCTTGGTATTTTTATAGACGTCAATCTAAACGGTTACTTCATATCGATTTTTTAAGTAAGAACCTAGCATTAGCCTGCTATACAATAAGGTCTGTTTCGGAGGAAATAATTTAGCATCTTCCCAAAAAACATATTTTTCTTTATTCGAGTCTCATCTTCGATGTAGTCTTCCTTTTTGGGGTTTTAGTACAACTGCCCAATTTGGTGGCATTTTTAAATTACAAAAAATATCAGTATAGCATCTGTTTGACTCCAGTAGAACAACACATTGCAGAAGCTTCAAAAATCAGGGGATTTTAACTCTCGCCCCTTTATATACTTTACAAAACTGTTTGCTTAATTCTACAACACCTACATGTTTTTCCAGTAAGACCTAATCATGACTACTCCACCAGAAAGTCCAGTGAGTTAGTAAAGAAATCTATGATATTATATTAGGCAAAAAAATTATACAGCCATCTACCTTTACAACTTAAATCTGCAACATTTTCCCCAAGTGTCAAAAAATCACAAAAGCCTATCTTCACCGCATTATTCAGTAGAAGAGTTTTTTAACGAATAACTAAGAAATTACAGTACCTTTATGTATAAGTAACTAAAGTACTTGAATCTATATTTGGGTATCAAACGCAGTAACTTTTATGCAACTTGCAATTAATTTAAATTTTCCAATGGATTGTTTATTTTCTTATCTTTTATTTTGTGTTATTGACGATTTATGTGATTTCAGTCAATTGTAATTGTTATTTTTTTCTGAGCTTTTGTAAGCTTTGTCCATAAAAATTGTACAAGTTTCAGTGACAATAAAGCATATTTCTAATTGTAAATCACATAGAGTGTTAGATGCATCATTTCCTGAAGTCCAATATGTATGACTCAAAGCAAAAAGTTAGATGAAGAAGCATTCCAGGGGTAAAAAATGAAATAATTGCGTAATAAAAACATGTATTTGTAACATTGATGACATCGATTTCTTAACAAATTTTCATATTTTGAAAATGCTAGCCTAGCTGAGCCATTTTCACAAAATATGTAGTTTTGTTGGAAGACAAAATGTATATATATAACAATTAAACTCGAAAAACAGAGATAACATTAAAAAACGTTCAATCATCTAGAAAAATATAATACTGCATAACCGTGTCAGGCAGCTAAAATTTCGCTTTTTTTTATGATAACATTTGACAGAAGTAAAAAAAAAAATTTTTATTAATTTTTCCTATAAGTTTTTTGCCTTTGAGGCTAATATACAATTTTAAATTGTTTTTTCTAAATATTTTAAAAAATTGTCAAATTTTATAAATGGTCAATGGATTTTGTTTTCACATTTTCATATTTTATTAAATTTTATATCACCACTTTGGCAGTTTTATTAATAATAATAAAAACAATTCGCATTGTATAGAATTCGTCTGTGTTTTTATAAATTAAAAAGTATTTAAGGAATATTTTAACTGCCTGATTTTAATATAAAAGCTAAAAGCTATCAAGCTAAACAACTATCTAAAGATTTATATATAAAATATATACTGAGCATTTTTTTTAAATTGAACCTTACATGTACGGTTAACTAGTATAACATTGGAGATACACAACATTAAATGTTTTTTTTTTAATTAAGTATAATCAGTGAGTAACAATTTTGATGCTAGCAAATACCAAACATCTTTTTTTGAAAGTTTTCTTAGCTATTGAAGGTTCTGGTATGATAATAACCGGTATGGACATAGTGGTACAAAATATTTTAGATGGGTGAACACACTGTACAAGACATTGTTTTATGCAGAGAATTCCATCCAATTCCTACAACGGTGCCGGGACACCATTATCCCTAAAGGCTTCCCCAAAGGCAGAGCTAATTTAGCCATAATACGTGAGAGGATTCAATACATGTTTATTTTCAATAAAACAGGAAATTGTAAGTATTGAAAACTCTCTCTATTAGAAAACATCAAATTCTGATTTTAATAGAACAATACATTACACAGACACATAATATACATGTACACATATAACAGACAAATAAACAGACACATACACAAATTTAGTAATTAAAAAAAAACCATCAGTAGCACTAAATACTGTAACAAAATAAAAAACAATGCAAACAGCATAACAATTATTGTCAAACTGTCCAAAAGACAATTGAACGACTTATCGGAGTAATTAGTAAGGATAGGAAATAAGTTTAATATTACAACAACATTGAAAACAAACAATGAGATATTTTTATGTCCAAACGCGAATCTAACAACATACAAGAGAGATCAAAGAACTGCATCTATAAAATAGCATATGAATGCAACAATTTCTTTGTGGGAGACACCACTGAGTGTCTGTAGTAGGGGAGACCAGGGTTACACGGGATTGTTACATTTAATTTTAATCAATAAGATGTCAGCACCTTTAAGGTGGTATGTCACAATGTTAAAATTTATATACTTTTTAGGTACAGTTATCGTCACTATTTCAAAACC